CCCCCCCCCCCCCCCCCCCCCCCCCGGCCCCCCCCCCCCCCCCCCCCCCCCCCCCCCCCCCCCCCCCCCCCCCCCCCCCCCCCCCCCATGACGGTGACGGGTTGGATGTCAAAAGACGCCAGAAGTTACTTGCGTATGTTCGGTATCGAAGAAGGGGGTCGAGGGTTCGGAAGGTTCTTCAGAGTCGTTTTGTGAACGTAGTCTGAAGGTACCTGGAAAACCCAATGGCAGACGCCATTTACCCGTATGAGTCCATGATTCGTGATGCCCGAGGGAAGGTCTGTTGGCCTATCTGTCAGGTTATTGGGAGAGTGCGATCTGTAGTGAAGAGAAGAGATTACCCGCCCCTGCGGTGTGAGCTGAACCTAGGGTAACACAACTGCCTTGGCGTGACGTAGTTCACATGCTGACTGCATAAAGCTCGTACACACGTTTTGGCTGGAGAGTCGGACGCGCGTGAAGGAAGAGCGGATGGTTTCGATTATTCTTTCTTTCGCAGCCTTACCAAGATGTCGAATCTCTCATCCGTACTACCGTCCTCGCAACGTCGACCTCAGAATCTACATTTGCGTCCCGGGTAAACTACGACAAAGCAATCGTTGAGCCTCTGCGATGGGCTTCACTTTTGATCAGTGTAGCCAGATACCGGCTTCTCTCAAGCCGTATGGCGACATATCGGGACTAGGGGTAAGTCAACACCGTTTGAACCAAGATCAGTGAGCTAACATCCGGCCCTAGGTTGTGCTTGGATTCGTCTTAAGCGCCTGGCTGACTATTCTCATACTCATCGCATACTACTTTTTCGCTTTCGACCCGGACCTGGATCCCTCCCGAGATACCGGTGAACAAACCTTGTCCGCGACCTATTCATACAAGCCGAATCCGCTCGATGTTCTGATAGCTAGATTCACACAACGTCTGCGGAGTCGGAAGTCCTTTGAAGGAAGCTTGGTTGAGAGCGCGTTCCATAAGGTTAGCCTGTATAGTCTTGCGGGAACTCCTCGAACGCATGCTTACCTCTAGCCCTCAAAGTGTATTCTCTCCCTCGCCGATGCGCAGCTGGTTACAGGCTTCTCCATACTCATAAGCGGCTACTGGGCGTTGAGACATGGCGAAGGGCTGTCCACATATCATTGGCAACTGCTTGTGTTTTTAGCATGGTTTTCGACCATCACCCACCTTTCAGCTCTTACGTTTCTGCGAGGCTATCTCGCGGTACATCCAGCAGGACGTGCCTGGCGGGTCTTTATGATGTTTTCACTCCTGGTTCTTCTTTTCGTGGGGTTTATCCCCACTGGTCACTTTGAGTACCTTGAGTACTACGAAGGCAGCTTCCCTGCTCGGTCTATTGACTTGGGCCAAGCCATATATCCGGAGAGCTGCGACAATTTTGGGGACTTCAGTCAGTCATACTACTCGACGTACTCGCAGCCTGCCACATTGACGCTTAAGGACTGCAATATCTCCGGAAACCCAGTCTTTCGGATTGGAACCTCCTTTAACCACAGTTCTTTTACAGACATATTACCCTCGGGCCCAATCACAGTCCTGAAAGAGTCTCCCGCGGTGTGTTTCTTCAAAGGTCACATGGCCACATCCAGCCATGCCTTTGTATCCATGGTTTCGTCCCTTCTCCTGCTAGTATATGGTTATCTCATCCGAACCATAAAGCTTTTTGAAGGCCCTAGTAAGATGATCTCTATGCGCATACAAGATGGGCTAGATCGTGGGTATGAGGCCCTGATGGGGGTGTGGCAACGGAGACTGAGCCGAACCAAGGCTAGGGGAGCCATTATAGTAGCATCACTTTGCCTGCCTCTCCAAACCTCAATCTTCTGTACTGTACGGGTGTTTATTCAATTATATACATCTATGTTTACAGAGGTATGATTTTCAAACCAGCATATTCTGACGCTAATAGCTGACATAAACTACAAAGGTCTTCTCTGTTGTACTCTCTGCGATCTGGAGTACTCTCAAGATTGTGGGGTTAAGGGAACGCAACGATACGAAGGAGGATAATGAGTGGACGTTTGGTCAGGTTATTCCGATTGCTCTACTGTTAAGCTCTGTGGTCCCCATATTTGAGTTATCCCATAGGTCTCTGGTTTCCGACATGTCAAGTAAGTCCCGATCTCTATTTTGATGCATAAAGCCCGGCTCAAAATATACTCTAACCACATCGTTGCGTTACTTCCAGGCATGCATGCAAGCCCAAGCCGGCTCTCCCATTCATATCATGCTGCCGAACACGCTCATCTGCCGCATCAGTCCAGGTCGAACGCCGTTAGTGCGTTGGACATAGCTCTTTCAGATAGGCATATTGACCGGTGGCATCCGAGTGCCGGTGGCTCTGTGGGAACCTGTAAGTACCGGGATCGATTGATGAACTGCCTGAACCTCTGACAATTCGCGTAAGTACGCTGACTGATATGGTGGTCTTTACGAGATAGCCTATACAGAACTACCGACAAACACAGAATCGATTTCTAATGAGCTGAGTCATCTCAGTAACATAGAAATCCATCAAACGCCTCTGACAAAGATCCTGGCTCGCCTCGTTCTCGAAAGCTCCAACGCACATAGTAGAGCATGGTCAACCTCCTTGGTTTTCATTCTCAGCGGTCCATTCGTTTTTGCTATTTTGCAACTTCTGAACGCATTGGGGATTACTATTGATGATCCCACTTCCAATTTGGTGGATGTTGCAAAAATTCTTGGTTCTCTCTTATGCTTTGTTCAGACCCATCTCTATCTTCGATTCTACGTCGGGCGAATTCGCAACTCCAAGGTGCGAAATTCAACTGCCGTTTTTCTTACCCTTGTAATCATGTGCGCATCAATATGCTCCATCCTATTTCAACTTCTAGGGGAGACAATTCTGGGAGGCATATGCTTGCAGTTCATTGTCGCTCTCCTTGGGGCAGTAGACGATTTTCGAAGTTTAAACAAACATCATTCTATAGGTGGGGAGCCGGACCGAAATATAAACAGTGGCTGAATCATTTCGAGATACACTAGGACTTAATACATTGAAACTCTACCCTTGTTTATGTTGATAACTTCTCTTTTCGACAGGAAGGACTGATACTATTGCGTTAAACACGTCAATGCCTTCGTTTTGCCTAATGATGATACACGTAGTGGTATAGACACCTATCGATACAACCCGCCTTGCTCATAGTCTCCCCAGGATCGCCGAGCAAGCTCATTCTTCCGACCATACCCATACATTAAAGCCACCCCAGATATACAACTCAGATAGCAACAGCGAGATAGGTGGGCATGAATAAAATGTATACACACGAGTTTGATATGTTTTTTTTTGCTCATTGTACAGATGGTTGGGTGTTTTGCTCTCCACATCGCGACCCGAGCGAATCGGTCCGTCGTCCCTATCATACATTCTCCCCACCGCTCGTTTTTTGTGTGTATCGAACTCCCGTCGACGTGATGGTACAGAGAGCCAAGGACGCAGTCAAAAACACATCAGAGTCTCCGTTCGTGTCCCGAAACCGGTACGTCAAAATCCCATCCGCCCTCCCTTCCTCATGAACTTTTTCAACCCAGCAACCGCAGCTTCCTCAGGCAGAGGAACCGTGCAAGCTCGTCCTGCCCATGAACCCCAAATATTCAAGTCCTCCCGCTCCTCACAACTCGCCCCGGAAAAGCATCTCCTTACGACGGGCGCGGTCCTCGCGGGCCTTGGTGCGGATGGCGCCCCAGCGCTCCTTGACGGCGTCGAGCTTCTTGGCCAGGCGCTCCTTGTGCTCGCGGGGCGCGGGGGTGCAGATGGTGATGAACATCTCGGAGCAGTCGAACTTGCGCGCGAGGGCGGTGACGCTCCAGGTGACGGGGTCCTCGTTGCGCAGGCGGCGGATCTCGGCGACGTCGTCCTTGGTGAGGTGGTAGCGCGGGTTGGAGCCGCGGGAGGGCACGTTGAGGGCCGGGGGCAGTTTCGTTTCTGTTGTCGTTTTCGAGGCGGTGGCGGAGGCGGATTTGAAGAGGGCGGAGAGGTTGGCGCGGCGGCGCGGGTCGGTGGAGGGGAGGAACTTGAAGGGGGTGTGCAGGACCGAGGGGGCGGCCGAGGGCGGGTTGACGAGGATGGTGTCGCCCGCGGCGGAGGGCAGGAAGTCCGGGTGAGGGGCGATCTTGAGGGCCTTCTTTGTGCGGGTCGTCGTCTTGTGGCCTCTCCTGGGGACGAGGGTTTTGGTGATCTGTTGGCGGAGGAGGCCGGCCAGGGGACGGGTTAATGTCCTCGCCTCCATTGTCGCGTGTCTTTTGGTTTGTGTCTGGGGAGGAGGGAGAGGGTTCGTCTGGTCGGGTCGGGACGGACCAATTGGCTGAGGGGCGGCACGGCCGGCGTCGCTTCGGGGGAGGGCGGGGAGGCGGCGGTGGTGGTTGGCGGAGGGGTCGGCGGAGGGATTGTCGTGATGCTGCCGTGTGAGCTGAGCTGCCGGACCCTGAGGTGAGTTGACATTGAAGTTTTTCGGACCGTTGGAAATTTGGATTAGGTAAGGTGTGGGGATAGCTGTCCCGAAAGGGAGCTCTCGATGCTTAGCTAAGTGCCGAGTTTCGCCTTATTAGCCAGGCCAACTTTACAGCACGCCGCTTAGGTAAGTCGCCAACGGCGCAGTTGATCACATGATAGGGCACGTGTGATATGCATTGCCGATGCACGGCTTGATCCGAGATGGCGGGGCCTTCGTCCAAGGTTGCCTTGGCTCTCTTTTTCTTGCGCTGCCAGCGCAGCAGCACGAAGCCGGTGACGTCTGCGGTCCAGCCCCCCAACCCCTGATCAGCGGTTGCGGCGGGGAGGAACTGTGAGGAGTCTTGCCTCGTTTTTTCCAACAACTCCCTTCCGAAAGGCTAAAACCTGCGGTAAAAATGCAGAAAGCGATGCGCGACGCGGGAAGAGCGGGATTTCGGAAACGCAAAAGACATCACTCTCTTACGGTCGGCTCGTTTCAAAGCTTGTTTGTTGTTAGTTGGTCAACAACGGCTTTTTAGCACCTGCAACCGCGGCGCGGCGAGGTCGGCGAACTGGGAGCAGTTGATTCTGCCGTCCCGTGTTTCTATCTTTGGGTGACATATCCCTGTGCTGGGTGGTTACTGCGGCACGGCTTCGCCATTGTTTGGAAAATAGAGAGTCACCATGCTCGCAAAAGTTCCAAAACAGAACTCATTGGAAGAAGTTGGACCCTCGAAAATCGACGTTATGCCATGGAATTGTTCATGCAGAATCCAGGTGACGTGCCTCGTAGGGCGCCAATCAGGCAGGGCGGGAAGCCCGATTAACACAGGGATTGGAGGGGGGCGCAGTGCATCTTTTTTTTTCACTCTTGTCGCTATCGCGAAGGGGTCCTGGTATGGGAGGGGGTTCGTCATTGCATCGTCGGAGCGGCATTTGACGTAGCATTCTGGGTCTTGGGTATCCGTAGCCCGCCCTGTCCTTCCAGGCCGTCGCATGGAGAAATTATGACGCCGTGGAGACATTTGACAGCGAGGACGGGACCGAGGCTGACGAAAGATGGAAGCGGTAAAGCCAAAGTAGGAAAGGATCTTGGGGGTCGAAGAAGAACCGAAAACAGGGAAGATAGAGTTGGAGTTGGCAGAGCCAAGTTGCTGTTGAGGAGGCATTATTGAGCTAAGGTAGGTCAGGAAGACGGTCGTTGATTTGTTTGTGTTGGCGGCTTTCTTTTCGTCTGAACAGGGAACGCCCCTCTGCGTCGTTTATTCGATGGAAGCTTCGTTTTACGGGGCCTTGCAGTCTTGCTCCGGACTCTCTGAAGGGATCCGGGGTTGAATGAGTTTACTTCAGACGGGGTTGGCCACATCATCTCCGGGTCCCGGTCCAAGGAGCCTGTGGAGATGGACGGTGGGAGCTGGAGCGCCGCGGTTTTGGTTGCTTGAGAGATGCGCGAGTCAATGGACCGTCATCCCTGGATGAGAAGAGTCACTTTCTCCTGCCATGCCTTCTGATGTCGCATTTCACAACGTGGGCGTGTTTGCTCGGCATGAGACAGGCTCCATATAGAGCGGCCAGAGGATAACAATAGAACCCCGACGAACGCGCGGGTCTGAGACATTGAATCTCTGTGTTCCCTTCGCATAATCGAAAAGAGGGGTCCTCCGGGTCCAACATCGTTCAGCTGGCGAGGGATGACTTGGCGACGGTCGGCCGAAAGAGGCAAGACAGCGGATGAGGTCGAGAGGTGATTATGCCGGCGGGAAAGAGAAAAAGGAAATGAGGTTTCATGGGAAATGGCGAAAAGGAACGAATGAGACAGACAGATCGAGGACGCGTCGAGATGATGAAGAAGAAACGGCCAAGTCGCGTTCCAAACAAATTGCGCCGGCCGAAAACTCACGGACGGTCAGCCCACTTCATCGCCTGGACTCGACACACGCCAGCGGTGCAAGGCGTTGAGTTCGCTTCCCCGCGTATCCATCCGTCATGCTGTGTATGTAAGTGGTGATGAGAGGGCTTGAAAGGGGCGCAGGTTCGACATGGCCAGCTTTGGGCTCATGAATTTGCGCAAAGTATCCGTGGCCAAGAAGAGATATCGATATCTTGGATGTAAGCCGAGAGCGAGAAGCAAGGCCTTCGCAGACAGGTTCCGGGCCAACACGGAGACATCGGAGACTAAAACGAGGGAAATAATTATCTGGCATTCGGGTGTACCCAAAACGCTAACCTTGGGCGACGTGACGGGGTGCCTGAGCTACGGGATGACGGATCGCGCGCTCACGAGATTTGGGCTCGGGATACCTTTGGACGGGTATCTGTGGTGTCGGTTGACAAGACCGAGGGAAGTATACGGATACGTGAGGGTGTACTCTGTACTTGGCGACATGAGATGGTCGATACTTGAAGTGATATGACGGTTTGTGATGGCAGCCAAGTCACTCCCTTCGCGCATCACGTCAATGCCCAAACTCTAAACCACATTACGGGGGTGCGTGATGGGCCCCCTTTCACAAGCTGCACCTGCCAGAGCCAGAGAAGCCCAGGGCGCGCGTTGACTTGACGGGTGAGGTGAGGTGACGGGTGACTTGACCGAGCTAAGAGATGATGTTGTTAGCGGCGGGCAGTAACGAGGTGAGACGGTAGGTATCCGTACCTTAGTAGGAACATCCAGAGAAACAATCCGACGTTAGGTCAAGTACTTCCTAAGAAAATGAAGGTACGCGGCTACAAAAAAGATAAAACTGCTGACGGACGGAAAGCCCGACCAGACGGGAGCTCCTGACAGGAATAATAGCTCGTCCATCTCCTCCCCCTTCCTTCCTCGTCCACCTGATTCCCTCTGCTCCTAAACCTTCTCTCTCTTGTTATCATTTTGTTCCATCTATAACACATCACACAGCATCCGTCTCGTGCCTGTCTGCCTTGCTCAGCACAAACAGCCGATCGACAGCGCCTGTGACCTCGTCGCCTACTATTTTCATCCAGCTAATAGCCGGGGTAACCAAAAAAGAGGCACTCACTCCACCAACCAACCACCAAGAACACCGACCGCCGACCACCACGTCGACCCAGCAAGGCACAGCACCACACATGAGAGAATAGCCTAGGCCTGGCCCGTCCATCAGCATACCCCGTCAGCCAGACTCGCCGAACCACACGGCACGCTGCAAGCAGGGGCACGCAGCATCAACCGCCAATCTGATTGCGAGTCGTTTCCGCCGTTGCGTCACTCCGTCCCCAGCTTCGTCAGTCAGGGACCTGCAAGAAACATCAAGGAGGAGCGCGAATTTTCACTCTTCCCGTCGGCATCCATACCTTAGCCTTAGCTTCGTTCGGCCCCTCATTCCTCGCCTCACTGAAAACCGTCGACTGGGCGTGGACCCTTCTTTTTGCGACCAAGAACTCAGAGGAGACACGACGACTATCAGAGACAGACAAGAACACTTGCGGGAAAACACCAGAAACGGCACTACAGCTGTGACACCTGACTTGATTCCTTCGTTCTGTCTTGTCGGCAACCAACGAACGCCCGTGTAAATCATCCCATTCTCCTCGATCGGCTAGCCCCCATCCAATTCCTATCCTGCACGCAGGGGAGCTGCGCCCATTGCGAGCATTGCAGGCCACTCACTTCTCGGCCCTTTCTGCCTTCGTCCTTCGTCGCCTTTCTGGTACTCTGGTATGTACATCTCGATAATATCATTCGCGCCCCTCATCCCCCCCAGCTGCCGTTTGACTGTTAAGCACTCGACCTGCATCGGTTCTGCTGCCGGGGTTCGTTCGCCGGCCTTGCTGTTGTTGCGTTGTGTTGCTTGCTGCCGCCGCTGATGCTCCTGCGACAATCACCGCATTTGCGCCGCACACCCCCAAAAACCCCTTCCACTTTCCCCTTCCCTTGCTTGACCCGAAAAGGGCGAATCGCGGGAATCGACGTCAGGGTCACAGGGTCACCAAGCCAATCTATTGTCCCCCCACCACCTGTTTTCCCAGAATTCGTTCCTGCTCCCCCTCTTCTCCCCGGCCTACATAATAACGTCAAAACGTCAGGGTCCCGGCTTGGAACATTCCCCATAAACTCTGGATCTTTCCACCAGCGCCAGAGACTGAACGCCAAATCAGCAAATCCAGCCATACGACATTCAACGACCGTCAACACTACACACCACCGCAGAAAAACCACACATACATCACGATGAGTCTGAGCTTAGAGCAAACGCCCATCACAGGCGCCAGTGCGGTGTCTCCCCAGAATCCCATCTCTGCAGCCGCCACGAACGTGATAGCTGGCGATGCGACACCACGCGCTTCGAGCCACAATGACACTGAGACGGACAACACCACCAAGAAGGACGTGAAGAGCAAGGTGAAAGGACTTTTTGGAATCGGCAAGAAGAAGGAGGACTCGAATGCTTCCAGCAAATCGTCATCGTCCGCCAAGCCTCAAGCTTCAACTGTCACCAGCAATCCCTCCTTGTCAAGGGACCCCTCCAGAGCGTCCGCGAGGTCTACCACAGCGCACCCGTCGTCGCCAGGCCGTGGCGTTTCGGCCTCACCCCGTGTGCCCTCACCAGCCGGCTCCCAGATTTTTGAGCGAGACGTCGACAACATGTCAATCAAGCCGCAATCGCCCGCCATCCCCTCGCACATCCAGACGGAGAACCACATCCCACCGGTCCTGGACGCATCCTCGGAGGCCATCACGGACGACCACCTTGACCCGGACAGCGTCGAGATCGTCACCCACGCCCAGCACCAGCCCGCCGCCGCTGCCGTCACTGGCGCCAACGGCACCCCGCACCCGCCCGATTCGATGGCTGCCTCATGGACTGAGGAGCTGCGCGCATTCGCCGATCGCGACGACGCGTCGAATTACAACTCGCTCGACAATGCCGACGTACGCAGGCTGAGCTTCATTTCCTTCGCCGATGTCGTGCAGGCCGAGCAGGGCGGCCACGCCGGAGCCGCCGGGTCTCGGGAGTCGGTTCATGTCGCCGGCATGACATCCCTCTCGTCAGTCAACGCCCGATCGCCGTCCCCCATCCGGTCGCCGGTCTCATCGCAGCCGGCCACCTCCCCGCCGACGAGCAACCCCGGCTCTATCAAGGGACTGGAAATGTCCCCGGTCCGGAAGCCCATCGGCAGCCCAATTTCGTCCCATCACACGACCAGCGACGTCAACATTGAGACCATGTCGCAGGCGCTGAGGCGGACAGGAAGCTCGGATCTGAGTGGGGTCCGGAGCTTGCCTACGAGTCCGATTGAGGGACCGTCAAGATGATTTAGACCAAAACGGATGATGAAGCGCAGCAAAAACAGTACAAATTTATCGGTACGGAGTCGGAGGCAAACGGAGAAACCATTGATACCAAAGTGGAAGTTCTATTGCGATTCTTTTTAAACTTCCAGAGAGTCTTTTTTTTTTTTTTTCAAACAGACTGTTTTAAGGCGAGCAGCCAGATTACCCGGGAGGCTGTCTCATAAGTTACCCAAGGAGGGAATGTCGTCAGATTGCGTCATGTTTCCGTCGTTCATCCTACGTTTTTGGGAGTTGGGTTAGGAAAGAATTGAACGTTTTTGCTGTCGCTGATGTAAACCAAAGTGACTGATCTCGAAAGGACGCGCTATTATTGACAGCTCTCGTGTGACAAGATCCAGAGCCATCAACACAACTTTACACACACTATTTGCATGGTTCCGAGGACGATCTCGTCAATTGAACTGTCTCCTCGGGACTCAGCGATCACTACGCGCTCAGCTTCAAAGCAGACATCCTGATAACCCGGAATCTACGTATGCTTCGCCACGTGAGAGTCTCACGGTGCTATGTTATCCATGTTGAACGCTCCAATGAAGACGCCCAGGGTATGAACCAAAACAAACTTCAACTCATGACACGGATACGGAGACGTTCGCCTCGGCGCGCATCACGCATACCTGACAAGCAACTTCATCGCGGCTTCTGGTTGGAAAAACCCCACTCCACTCCACTCCACCGGCTTGCCAACAGTCACCGGCTTGAGTGTTTTGCTGCCCTTCACTAACCAGCCACAACGATTCACACACAGGCCGGGAGGTTCAGTGCAGCTTAGGTATGACATGGTAAGGTCCAGATCTAGTGCAGATGTGCCGCAATTCGAATGTATATCTATCAGGGTTTTGTATATTGGATCACTACATAGTAAATCTAGAAATGTCCTTGACTGGACGTATGTAAAGCGCTCTGAGTAGCCAGGAAATTGTGAAAGGATTTTAGGACAGCTGACATCTGCTCCTGGCGTTCACCGATATGAGAAAGATTGGGAAGCTCGAGGGCCTCGGCCGAGCCCAATCGCGGATCAAACATCTCCAACTTTCTTAACCCTCTTGACTCTGTGAAGTAGTCTGTCTTCCTTCCGAGGCGGTCTCGGCGAGGGTCTCGATCTTGTAGTTCTCGGATCAGCTCTCGAGCATCCTCCTTCGTCATCTCTCGGCGCGCCTCTCCGTCGGGAACCGTCGCGAGGACCCTCACTGTGGGTGCCTCGAAGAAGACGCTGAGCGCGTGCTCGACGTCCCGTTCCGAGTTGGCGTAATACTGCATACAGTTGAGAACCCGATACGTCAGCGGGACGTATTCTGCCGCGGTGAAGAGGCCGAACCACTCCCTCAGAGCCTCTACGGAGATCTTGGGACCGCCGCGTACCCCATACAAGTGCGCGAAGAGTATATCGAAATTGTCCACATCCTGGTTGCGGTTCCCAACAGCCATTTTGGCGAGCTGCGCTGCGATCAGCTCTCTGACTAGAAGGCTATCTCGGTGTTCCTCAAGTAAAAGCGCCAAGAGCTGTTCGCTACAGTTCAATTCAAGCGCATCAGATTGTTCGTTGGGGCCCGAATACGGTCTTGTGTTGAGAATGTTGCCTATGAACCTCTTCAAGATCTCGAAATCCGCCTGCTTCTCAATAAAAAAGTCTATTGTCGGTGAGCAGTTGTCGAGGGCGTACCACATCACAGATTCTGCGACTGTAGCAGCTGGACTTTTCTCAAAAAGCAGTTCCAAAATCCTTCGAGTTGTGCGAATATCCCGTCTCTCAGCCGCGGTGATAAACACGTCGCTTACCAATTTTGCACTGTAGACTGCCGACCTCGCCACAGCTTCGGTGATCCTGATTTCTGGACAGTGCTCGAAGAGCAGCTTGAGAATCTCGTCTCCATGTTCACCGCTATTTCCGGCTGCATGCACAAAGACCCTCTCAGATGGCTCGAAATCCCTGAATCTGTCGAGCAGCGCCTTCAAAATGTCGTGTCCGCATACGGGATTGGTGTCCGCTGACACGAAGAGGTCCTCAGAGGGAAGTATATCATTGACTTCGAGCTGATCCAAAAGTAACACGACGAGGTTGGTGTTGTACAACTGAGGGTCAGACATTACCGTCTCGAGGGTATTCCAAGATACGGGAAGCGATTTGCCTTTCTCAACGAGGAAGGAAAGCATATCAAATGATTGGTTCAAGCCTTCTCGTTTGGGGCTAACGGCTTTTGCAAGCATCTTTGTTGTGATTTCCATGTCCGGGTCGTTCTTCATCAGAAGTTTCAGAAACGTGGCTTTCCTGGACCCGCTGCTCATTAGGGACTCGTAAGTTTCACGGCGAACCGGAATCCCTTTCTTGTGGCTCAGTAGCAACTTGGCAATTGCACGATGTCCACCGCGTACAGCCTCATCAAGAGCTGATTCGCCAGTTGGGCCGCTGAGGATGCTGGGATTGGCGTCATGCTCGAGTAGCACTTCAACAACCTTCGCACTTCCACAGCTCGTGGCAAGATGGAGAAGTGAATACCCAAAGTCAAAGGAATGACCGATTGCATGTCCATCGCTTTGAGATACATCGCTTTCGAGGTCGCTGTCGGAATAATCGTTCTCGAACCAAATGCTCCCGAGTTTGTTGTTTTGGAGCGAACGGCCAGGATCGCTTGCGTCTTTTTCTTGACTCCGGAAATTGATATCGATCACATTTTCCTGAGATAGAAACTTCTCAGCCACAAACTCAAGGTCGAGGAAACAACACATCCCAATCACTTGGAATATTCTTGTTGATCCAGACAGTCTACTCTTTTGCCCTCCAACGAGCCAGGACTCTTGTCTGATTAGGTCGGCCTGAAGCAAGTCCAGAGTGTCGTCGTACAGCGCCTCCTTCTCGTCGACGCCGAGTGAATTGTAATGCATATGCCACTGTTTCCTGGCATAATTGCGGATGAATGGATATCTATAAGATTGAGTTGTGCTGCCTGGTACTGAAAGCGCCCGAAGACATGCAAAGGTCATCGTTTTTTGTGATACGGGCGACTGGAATCTACCACGCCAATTCCCTTCTGGCTTGTTGTGAGTCAAGAATTCTCGAACTGTTTGATGCGTGAACACTAGAGTCTTCTGATTCTGCCTGTTCTTAGGCAACATACGTTTGTGATAACGTTGGAAGGAACGCCGAGATGAATTTCCGAAGGAAGATGCGGATGAATTGTCGGAGGAAGATGCAGATGAACTGTCGGATAAAGATGCAGATGAATCGTCGGACGAAGATCTGGACGAATCGTCGGATAACTTTTTGTTGGACGAAGTGACAACAAGAAACCCGGTCAAATTTGCCACAACACTTTCGAACCCCTTCTGCCATGTACTGTCTCTGAATTCGCGGAGTGATTTGTACGGCGTTGTGTGGAGAGCCGCCGCGAGTGCCTCATTGGCTTCTAGGAGTGTGAGTGGCCGATTCGCGGCGAGTAGTACATGGAAGAGCGCATCAGTCTTGCGCCGATCCGATGAATTCTTGTTCAAGACGTGCTCGTACATGTCCGAAACTTCGGTCGGTAATTCGTCGAATAGGGCTTTAACGTCCAAAGGTCGACTGTAGTCGCTTGGGCTATCCGCTATTATGCGGAATACAAGATGTAGCCATAGATAGGAACGGTTCTGCATTTTTTTGAGTCGATTTGATGTCTCTAGGCGGTCTTTTGGCTTGAAACGGTGAGGTAGGTTGCGGACTTTCTCGTCGATGACTAGGTCGATTTCCCGGTTGATGTCGTCACTCTTGTCGCTCCCATCGAATCGTACATAAGCGGAACGGCTGTCAACAGCTGATGATAGCGTCTCGAATAGATACTCAATAGTGTCATAAGGTCGACTAGTGACGATGAAACGCAAGTTGAGAATGGAGGAACGTGGCCCGTCTCCGTAAAACCGCTTGAGAAGATCAACAAACTTTGTTCTCTCGTGCGTCTCACACTCATCCAAGGCATCGATCAAGCATACGACGTCGCCGATATTCTCAGACCCCACACAGTCAAGCAGAATATCCCAAAGCGGCTGATGAGCAGTCCCGAAGTGTTGGCCTGCGTTCTTGTAGGCCGCTTTGGCTTTCTTGATAAGCTCTCCAGACTCATCTTGTACGAATATTTGATGCAGAATGGCAGAGAGTGCGGCGGCGCAAGTTGTCCGTCTCTCGTAACCGTCCTTGAAGAAGAAATAGCAGACGGTGGACGTCGAAGCGGTGGTGGGAAGCCAGTGCTCATCGATGAGAGCTCGTGACAGCACAGACTTTCCGCACCCAGGCCCGGCTGAGACCCAGAGCAGGCTGGACTGATTGCTATCGCGCCAACGAAGAAATCGAGGGTCTTGGAAGAACCATTCGCAAGTGCCTTTTGTTCTCGTAGGGTTGAAGTCGTTCTTGTATCCTTCATGATCAGCGAACAGTCGTTCCAGAATACTCTGTTCTGTTTCATCTTCGTATTGCTGACGAGTTGTGACAAGAGCTGCATGAATGTGCTCAAGTATTTCCCGTGATTTGAGTATTTCGGAGATTTGAGTTTCCCATTTTTCTTCGGCGTTTTGCTTCTGTGTCTGATCCAAGTAGATACGGCATTGTTGATCAACTCTGTTGACGTTTTCCGCTTTACCTTCCCATGCGGTTCCATCAATGACATTGACCCAGGCACGAGACCGCTGTCGAAGTGATAGATGACAAACGACGCGGGCTTGGTACTCGATGATCATGGAATACAGGTTGGTGACAAGATCAACGAAGTCTTTTGAATTTGTTTCGGTAGATGCTGAAGTTTCGTACATCTTCCAGAACACCTGGACTCGTGTAACCGACTCGAGGCCCTCGAGCATAGCCTCATTGAGATCAGTCCCAACGGTCAAAAGCTAAAATTGTTAGAATTCTTGGAACAACCATGGCTTGATACTTGAAACTTACGGGTATGAAGATTGAAATCGCGGACCAAGCCAAAGCTGCGCATGGCTGGGCGCTGACGGCAGTCTTCACAACGCCGTCCGTCCATACGAGAAACTTAGCCAGCTTCTCGATCTGCCCTCGAACTTTGACGCTTCTTCCCCGCACTTCGAACTTCCATTGTTTTGCTTCTCTTTCAGCCTGTAGCCCCTCGACAACTGAAGCGACGGAATCGGAACTCGTCAGCGTGTCGGCGGTTGAACCAGGAAGGAGATGATCGGCGTAGGCCGCAGCAAGGTCCGGTTCTCGTTCTTGGAGCAGTCGGTAAGCTGCTTTCCATAGGCTGTTCGGGTCGTCCAGAGATTGAGCGGCCGCTGCGGCTTCGTCCTCTGGAGTGACATCGACAGGTGTCGTGGTGACGAGGTCTTGGGCATGATCTGATGCAATGACCGACGGCATAGCATCGTTTGGCTCAGGCATCGGGGCGTGGCTGAGAGACGGAGCATCTTGACCAGCTGTGCCAGGCTGGGTGTCTTGGTCAATCGACACAAGTTGACTGCATTGCTGAACCGTGGTCGACTGAGTGTCCTGCCCAGTCGTGACAGACTGCGCAGATCCATGATCAGCGGCAGCCTGAACCGGCGTGCTGGACCTTGAAGACGCAGGCGAAGAGTTCGCCGAAGGTTTGTCGTGATCTCTCTTGAAAGTCCCCCGAAGGAGGGCCTTGAAGCGTTTGCCTGCCATCCTCGGTGTTGGGGAGCTTCCGGACGGCCTTCGATATTCAGCTTGATCGTGGGTTTGGAAGAGAAGTCGGGCATTGCTGACGGAAGGCTGAGAGCCTGATGGCACCGAGCGGAGAAGCTGGTAAAGCTGGCGATTCCAAAGCCTGGAAAGGTGGTCAGGGGTGTTATGCAAGGCAGTCGCAGATGCAGCCAGAAACGGAAACCACAAGCTGACGTTTGGTTGGTCTGAAGGACTTTGGCAAGAGGTGCATTTCGGGGCACTGCTACCAGTCAACTATTTTGTCAGCCAGGAGGAAGCTTGACGGTGAGAACAACGCCTCGAATCAACATGGGAATCGTGCGGGAACATGGAGTTTTTGGAACCAAGATATTCATTCAAATTATCCTTCTCATTTACCACAAGCCGTAGCCACTCTTCATTACCTATCATAATTGCGACTCTTAGGCATCTTCTTCTCCTCCAACGCCTCAACATCCCCCTTCTTATAGAAATGCGGCGCCAGCTCCGCCAGCCACTTCGGCTCGATGGGCATACAGCTACGCATGTACTCCTTGGTCGTCTGCACCAGCTCAAAGTACACCAACATCCTGACGGGCGGGTCGATGCCCATGAGCACGGAGCTGGGATGCACGTACACCGTGGCGTTCTTCTTGACGGTGCGGTACGAGTCGCCGCTCCGCTGCAGACGCGCCGCGTTGGGGAAGAAGCCCGCTGTCAGCGCGCGCTTGATGGGCGGGAGGTTCGACGAGCCGCACGTCGACGGGGATACCTCGACGCGCTCGCAGAGCTTGGCGAGCTGGTCGCGCACGTCGCGCGCGCGGGTCAGGGAGCGCTGCTGGAGGAAGTTCTCGCGGGACCAGATGGGCGAGTAGTCGCTGTCGACCCACTGGTTCCAGATGTTCAGCAGCGTGAGGTGGTCGCCGCCCTCCTTGATCGTGAAGCGGGCTCGGGCGCTGTCGGCGTGGATCTTCTTGTCCTTGGGCCGGAAGAAGAGCGCTGAAGCTTCGCTGAGCATGGAGACGACGGAGAGGACCTCCTCCACGCAGCCCTCCTTGTCGGCGGCGAGAACGGCCTTGGCGAGCATGGGATCCGTGGGGAACTCGGCCATTTGACGGCCCATCTTTGTCAGTTCGCCCTTGTGGTTGAGGGCTTGGAGGGCGAAGAGGTTGTTGAGGGCGCCGATGAGGGCCTCGGTTGGTGGCGGGTCCATGAACTCGAAGTCGAGCAGCTCGTTGATGCCAAGAGACTTCAACTGCAGAACAACGCCGTTGAGATTTGTGCGTTGGATTTCGGGCATCGGCGACTCATCCATCTCGTTCATGTAGGCGAACTTGGTATATAGACGGAAGCATTTTCCGGGACCGACACGACCTGCACGACCACTTCGCTGGTTTGCCGAGGCGCGGGAGCAGGGAGTTACGACAAGGTTCTCCATGCCTGTTGCCGGATTGTAAACGTTTTCCTTGACGAAGCCTGGATCGATGACATATACGATGCCGTCGATTGTAAGAGACGTCTCTGCGATATTGGTGGCCAGAACGACCTTGCGTGCGCCTTCTGGGGTTGGTTCGAAGATCTTGGCCTGTAGCTCAGAGGGCAAGTTGGCATAAATCGGGCAGATGACGAGCTCTTTTACGCGATTTCCGAGCTTTTTGGCCGTGTCGGCTATTTGTTGCTCTGCGGCATCGATCTCGTCCTGACCTGTGAGGAAGACGAGAATATCTCCTTTTCCTTGCGTTGTGTGAATCTGGAAAACTGTGGTGATCGCTGCCGCAAGGTAGTTGGCTTCCGGTGCAGGCGTGTAGTAAATATCCACAGGGTATCTTCGACCCGGGATGTTGTAGATAGGGGCGTCGTCGAAGTAGGCGGCGAACTTCTCGGCGTTCATGGTGGCGGACGAAATAAGGAGTTTCAGATCAGGCCGTTCCCTAGCCAAATCCTTGACCAGCGCCAATAAGATATCCGTATGCACCGTTCTCTCGTGGGCCTCGTCGATCATGATAGCTGAGTATCCGGCAAGATCCGGTTCCGTCATGAATTCTCGCAGCAACATGCCGTCGGTCATGTACTTCAGAATGGTCTTGTCGCTGGTGTTGTCCTCGAAACGAATCGAGTATCCGACCTCCTGACCGACCTTGACGCCTACCTCATCCGCCACACGCGCGGCAACAGACATGGCGGCGACTCGACGGGGCTGCGTACAACCGACTTTCATGCCGTTCTTGGTGTATCCCGCCTCGTGCAAGTACTGCGGCAGCTGCGTCGTCTTTCCGGAACCCGTTTCACCAACGATGACCAAAATCTGGTATTTCTCCATCGCCTCGAGGAAGTCGTCGCGGTACGCATAGATAGGCAGGCTCTTCCTCGTCTCCTGGATCGAAAGCTGCTTCTTCTCCGCCGCCTCGATTTGCGCCGCCAAAAATTGCTGCTCCTTGGTAAGCTTGCCCTCCCCTGGCAAACTCGACCCCAGGTTCCACTTGATATACTGCTCCTCGTCCATCACGTAGGAATAGTCGTCGTTTTCCCTCTCAGCTCGCTGAATCTGCGCTTTCGCCTTGGTCGCCTGCTCCCTTTCCCACTCTTCATGCTCCGTGACGAACTTCTCCTGGCCGTACTCGTCTTTCTCCACGTATCGCTTGTACATGGCATCCTCCTTTCGTTTTCTGTCAATCTTGCCCTTCTCCGTGATGTAGTCCTCGGGGATGTAGTACCCGTCCTTGTGGTCGTCGATCTTGAGTCGCTCCTCCGCTAACCTCAGGATCTCGCGGTTCTTGGCAAACTCGGCAATCTCTCGTTCGGATAACCTCGCGCCGCTCCTAAGCTCCTCATTCTCTTCTGCCACCTGCTTTCGCAGCAAGGCAAGCTTCTCGGCCTCTCTCTTCCCGAGATACATCTGTCGACTCTTCAACCTGAGATCCTCCATCGTCGCCTTTCGGTCCCCCGAGTCCGGCAACTTCCTGCTGTCGCCGCCCTTAGACCTCTTATCATCCTTGTCCTTCAAGCGCTTGGCAAAAGCCTCACGCTCCTCTATATCGCGTTGACGTTCCAGCTCTTCACGCGCGCCGTCCGACAGATCCCCGTCTCGTTCGCGATCTCGGTCGTCGTGGCTGAGCTTGACGCGCTTCGACGCCGACTCCTTGAATTCGGGCTCGTCGTCGGCTTCGACTTCGTCATCCGTGCGGGGCTCCTCGTCCGCCCAGCGGTCGTCGTTGTCGTCGGTGTCTCGTTTGCGGTACTGTTTTGACGGACGGGCCGGTGATCGCGAGCGCGAGCGGCGTCTGGATGTCCTCTCGCCGCGGTCACGGTCGCGATCTCGTTCCCGTTCGCGCGATCGATCGCGGTGGCGCGACTTGTGCTTCTTCTTGTCCTTGACCACCTTCGTAGGGCCGACCTCGTCGTCCTCCATCGGGAGGAAGGCGTACTTCTTCGACGCCATGGCGAATGTCGATTTGGTCGGCTTGTAACAGCACGATCCGTATGCTTCAAACAATAGTACTAGGCGTGGGTTCGAGGGCACCTAAGTAGAGCACAGAGGCTGGCAGCGATGATAGATATGGGAACAGACTCAAGAGACCGGCATTTGGCCTCAAGTTTGACGTGCCTGAACTGGTGGCTTTCTGCATATGGCTGCAGGCACCATGCCGTCTGAACTCAGAGCCCCACAATTTTGACAGTGGGGCGAGTCGCAAACACATTTTGGCCAATCACACATCTCCGATACTAATTCTTATCGGACCTCCCAGCTCCCCTTCTTAACACGTTGGAACTTACATTTTGAACAGCTGCTCTTTGCGCGCCCTCTTTCAGTATCTCTACAAACCTCTCATCCTTCACCAATCCCTCCTCGCACGACGAGTCCTTTCCTTTGAGTCACTCCTTAAGGACTTGGGAATTTTCTGCGAATCTGCTCATACGACGGTGCGTTCTAAGAAAAAAGATTTATCTACTTTACCAACCGCACTTACATCGAATTACATACACCCGGGCCCACGATGTTCTTCCGAGGGGCAGCGCTTTTGCTGCTGCTCCTGTGCCTGTGCCTGGTGCAGGTGGTCCTCTGTGCCGAGGACTACTACAACGTCCTGGGTATCAGCAAGTCCGCCTCCGATCGCGAGATTAAATCGGCCTACCGCAAACTCAGCAAGAAGTACCACCCCGACAAGAACCCGTACGTTTTCGCCCCTCACTCTAACCCGCAGCAACGCCCCGGCTAACGCACTCTCTTCAGCGGCGATGACGGAGCAAAGGACAAATTCGTCGAGGTCTCCGAGGCCTACGAGGCCCTGATCGACCCCGAGACGCGCAAGATCTACGACAAGTACGGCCACGAGGGCCTCGAGCAGCAGGGCGGCGGGGGCGGCCACCGCCACGACCCCTTCGACGTCTTCTCGCGCTTCTTCGGCGGCGGCGGCCACTTCGGCGGCCACGGCCAGCGCCGCGGCCAGGACGTCAACGTCCGCGTCGGCATCTCCCTCCGCGACTTCTACAACGGCATCAACACCGAGTTCCAGTGGGACAAGCAGCACATCTGCGAGGACTGCGACGGCACCGGCAGCGCCGACGGCACCGTCGACACCTGCGGCGTCTGCGGCGGCCGCGGCGTCCGCATCGTCAAGCACCAGCTCGCCCCGGGAATGTTCCAGCAGGTCCAGATGCAGTGCGACGCCTGCGGCGGCCGCGGCCAGGAGATCAAGCACAAGTGCCACACGTGCGGCGGCGCGAGGGTCGTGAGGAAGCCGACGACGGTGCAGCTCAACGTCGCGCGCGGCGCCGGGCGCGACAGCCAGATCGTGTACGAGAACGAGGCGGACGCGAGCCCGGACTACGTCGCCGGCAACCTGGTCGTCACGCTCGCCGAGAAGGAGCCCGAGCTGGAGACGGACAACCCGAGCAGGGTCGACGGCACCTTCTTCCGGCGCAAGGGGGATGACCTGTACTGGACCGAGGTTCTGTCGCTGCGCGAGGCTTGGATGGGAGATTGGACGCGCAACCTGACGCACTTGGACGGGCATGTGGTGAGGCTTGGGAGGGAGAGGGGACAGGTCGTGCAGCCCAGCCATGTGGAGACCGTCAAGGGGGAGGGCATGCCCAAGTACCACGAAGATGGTGACAGCGTGTACCACAAGACGGAGTACGGCAACTTGTTTGTGGATTACGTGGTGGTGCTCCCCGACCAGCTGGAGAGCGGGATGGAGAAGGAGTTTTGGAGTGTGTTCCAGAAGTGGCGCGGCAAGGTGGCGGTCGACCTGCACAAGGACAGTGGCAGGCCAGAGAAGCCTGTGGTGCACGACGAGTTATGATGAGATGCAGATGATGTGTGTGATAGACAAATAGACGGCCGTAATTAAAGAGCACTGAAGAGTGAGATTTCATATAGCGTTTGTAGTGTGATGTGCAGAAAATACCCAGTAATTTTATATCCGTGTCTAACCAGCTCATTCGTAATGTTTTGAAGCGGATTCGTGGATCATGAGATATCGTGTCTAGGTTGCAACATAAGATGTCCTTACATGAGGTATAGGAAAAATGAGAAAAAGCTGAAATGGTCATAAATCGTCGTCATCCGCTCCTTCTCCTCCTTCGTCGTCGGCCGTAACGTTCCTCATCATCGTCAACATCGTCTATCCTACGCTGACCCCCGTGCTGCGCCTCTTGCACTACGCCAACCACATCCTTCAAAAGGCTTTTCCAACTACCACGGCCGCTAATCATGCCTTCAATATCACTTGCAATTTTTTGAACTGCAACATCGTCTGTGCCGCCAACGGCCCACGCTCCGCTTGTATGCCAACCGTTGCCGTCTCGAGGTCGGGATTCAAAGTTGCCTTGTCGCCATTTCATCGCACCATTGCTGCCGTTCAGAGGTCGACCATGAGAGTCGAATCGGTCAGGAAGAACCTCCACTTCGCTTTCAGAATCGACGGGAAACTCCATCCCACGCCTGCGACGGACAAGAGGGTGGTTCGCAATGGGGTCTGATGACGAGCGCCGGCGGTTGAGAACAGGTCGAATGGTGGCTAATTGCTCTTCACTCAGGGTAGGCGGTTTTTCCTCCTCCTTTTCTTCATCGCTTGCATGCTGCTCTTGCTCTCGGTGATGTCGATGCAAAGTCTGCGACGACTTGGGAGACAATGGAATGAAAGTAACGGATTTCGTAGTGGAGTGAGACGTTGCCGGACGTTTGACAGAATCGGCACTCGAGACGGACGATGAAGAAGGTGATAAAGATCGTGAGCGTGGTTGAGATTGCGATCGAGACCGTGAGAGTGACTCAGGCGGCAAGAACTGCTTGACACGCTGTCGCCATTTTACACCATCTGTAATGTGTTAGTCGAAGCCACACAACAGCAAAGATACAAATGAGATAACGATCAGATCGACCCACCCTCAGGACCCAGAGAGACTGGCTGGGCATCTTGCGGTGAGGCGCTACGAGATTTGTCTTCACTCACATGGTCAGGGCCGAACCTCGTTGTCGGCGGCGGACCGCCCGGAGGAGGCCCTCCCGCGGGCGGAGGTGGAGGGTATCCACCGGCGCCGCCTGTGGCCATGGGTGGAGATGGTCCCATCGGCGGTGGTCCCGGCGGGTAGTCTTGGGGATACGGCGGGTACTGGTCCCGAAGATTCGTTGTCGAGATGTTGGGATGCTGAGTGAAGCCCGCGGGGCCGGCTGCCGGAGGTGGGTAGTACGAACCGCCCGATGCGTGTGGGGGCGATGGCGGACGGCTGTAATCGTCGTAGTAGCCATCAGCCCTTGCATCCTCTTCATAGCCTGCAAAGTTGTCAGTCACGGCATATCCAAATCTCGTACATATCAGCAATCCTTACGTCTGCGGTCGCGTTCACGCTCCCTGTTTCTTGGCCGACTCCCGCTGTAGCCCCGGTCTCTGGAACCCCGGTCTCGTGAGTGAGCTCTATCACGTGAAATGGATCTGTCGCGGGAGCGAGATCTTGCGCTTCTCTCCCTTGATCTCCGCTCGTCCTCCTCTTTCTCCTTCTTCTTCTGGTACTGCTTGATTCCGATGGCAGCGGCGCCTGACCCCACTGCCGCTGCCGCCATGTCTCTCAATCGACTCTTGCTCCTCTTCTTCGACGGCTCGGGGTCGTCGTATTCTTCCCGGTGTCGCCGACGTCGCCTCTCGTTCGCTGCAGATTCGTACCCATCATCCGGTGGGTATGGCGGCTCGGACGGCAGCGGAGCAGTTCCGTACTCAACTAAGCCTAGCTCAGTATCAGCGTTGCGTGGCTCCGAGTATAGAGAGCGGGCCTGGGACCTGCTGCGCGACCGACGACGTGAGCGCCGCTCTCGCCTGAGGTCCTCCTCGTACTCCTCATCGCTCAGTTCGCGCTCAATCTCGCGCTCCTTCTTATCCTTGCGGTTCTTGTATATCTTGCTGGCAACACCTCCGGCTAGTCCGGCCGCTGCGATCTCCGCTCCGGTCCTAATGCGCGACTTGGAACGGGAGCGGCTGCGGGACTTGGACTTGGACTTGTTACGGAAGTGTTGTACCAAACCAGCAGCGGCGGCGGTGGCGGCGGCAGCCTTGGCTACGGATCGACTGCGACTCTTGCGGCTACGGCTGCGAGAGCGGGAGACGGAATAGCTTGAGACGGAATGACCTCTGCCTCTGCTTCGTCCACGGTTCATCTCTTCTTTCTCGATCTTATTGCTCTGCATGTACTTGGCAGCCCCCGCTACTGCAAGAGCGGCAGCGGCAATGCCAAGGCCAGTTTTGATCCGGTTGCTGCGGCTGCGAGATCTCGAGCGAGATCCGTGGCGACGGTCATAGTAGTCATCCCCGTAGTTCTCTTCATATGCACTGCGGGCACGCCGGATGATCTCGGTACCTAGACCTCCGAGCGCGGCGCCGGCCAGCACCTTACTTCCGCGGTTGGCGGGGAGCTCACCGTCTCTGTCTCTCCGGCTGGCAGCAAGAGCAGCAATTCCTGCTCCTGCAAGAGCACCCTCGGCGAGATGGCGCTTGTGGTGGTGATCAGAACTGTTGCTTCTCTCACGTCGGATGATGGTCCTCTTGTAGTGATAGTCCTCGTCGTCACTGGCGTAGTCGCGGCCACGTCCGTGGCGGTCGTAGTAGTACTCACGCTCGTCCCGGTGGCGGCCGACAGCTTTAGTCTCACGGCGATAATAGTACTCATCCTCCCGAGGCTCTCGGCGAACCATCTCGCGGGGTTGCTCCCGCTCTCTGAGGACGACGATGTTGGGCTCTTGACGAGGGAGAACAATGGGAGCGGGCGGAGGGGCCTCCTGGACAATGATTTGCTGGGGTTCGGGTGCCTTTTGCCGGATGACGACGGGTTGGGGGATGGGCGGGGGGCTGACGGGTGAGTAATACTCGGTTTCCTTGCGGTACTTCTCGACTTGTTCTCCGCAGTCGTCTCGATATTCCTCAACTCGCTTTTCGACCTTGACGTCGCCATCCTCACGGCGCTCTATGCGCTTGTCCACGACGACCTCGGTGTCATCGTGATGATGATGGTGGTGGTGGTGGTCCCAAGGACCTCTCGAGCGGCGATCCCAGTCACGGTCCCGCTCGACCTCGATGACGCTGCGGGTTTCGTCGAAGCGGCCAGGTCCTCGTTCATAATCCTTTTCGTAAATTGCGCTGCGGGTTTCGCTTCTGTACGGGTCGTATTCTCGCTCGCGCTCGCGCTCAACTACTCGAGTCTCCAAAACCTGGCTCCGGGAATCGAAAGCGGAGCGCGGGCGCTCTGCGTAGGGAAACTCTCCAGAGGTACGCAGCGGATAGGCCGAGTATCGTGATCGACGGTCATCCTCCTCTACCTCGACGCGCTCGCGCTCAACGACACGGCTGGGCGCGACTTTGTAACGGCGAACGGTAGGGGGCTTGTATCCGCCTTCATCGGACGAGAGGGAGTCGGCTCGGTCCCGGTACACGCGGGTCGACTCTCTGTAAACTCCAGCCATCGCTAAATGCGATGGAAGCGAAGACTAACGACGCCGACGCTGGTTTCGGAAGACGGCAGACGAAAGTCAACGGCGAAAAGACTCGCTATGGGCGACTGCAGGCGGGGTTGAACAAAGAATGTGCGATGATGACGGAGGGGTAATGGGCTAGGACGAGCACATATGTATCCGCAACTGAGCCCCTGGTAGTTGGTGTAAGGTGAGGTGAGGTACGTTGCCGATCAATTTATTAGGAGGCTGGTGGGCCACCGTTGTCTCTGGTTGGGTGAATGTAGTCTGTTTGAACGAACAAGCTACACCATTTGGGTGTGTAGAAAGGAGGGAAGTACCCGGGAGAATGGGAAAGAAACGAAGGAGGGCAGTTCGAGAGAGAATAGAAGAGGGAGGGGGGAGGGGAAGAGAAGGGACGGAAAGGAAGCGAAGAGGAGGAGGGGCAGACCAGGCGGGCCACACGGGCGAGAGCGAGTTCAGTCGCAGTGTTGGGCTGAGATTCTGGGATTCTGGAGGCAAGCGGCCCCTCCTCTACTGCGTAAGGTAGGGCCCTTGGAAGGCCCCGGACCAGGGCGTCAAACCACCTCAGAGATGGACGGGACCGGGTGCCCTGCGGCGGTGCCCTCGCGATCCGGCCAAGGTCTGGAAGGGTGTTCCATGTTCATTGTTGCTTCTACCCATGTCTCTGCCTGCTATTTCCATCCATCCTTCACCCAACTCAAACGCTGGACCTCTTTTCTTAGCCCAATTCCATGCCTTTCTTGCTCCTACCAAGGCTAATAAAGTCGTATTTCTGCACCATTGCGTCTCTTTATCTGAGCCAATATATCACCATGGCTTACCAGCCTGCCTAAGGTAGGCCTCACTGTCATCATCCATTCTCACTCCTCCCTCCCTCCCTCCCTCCCTTGCGTCGGCCTCGATTTGACTGACAGCTTCGCGAAGCAACCAGGAAGCATTACGTCATTTGCGCCGACCACACCGAGCGAGGCCACTTCGAGAGAAAAACCAGCATTCGGCACTAACTTATTGTCAGCCAACTGCTATCGCCAAAGTTGGCCACGAGCGAGACATCCGAACAACACCTCTTCTGAAAATCCGTCAGAATACTCTCCCCCGACAGAAAATGGGAGAAAGCTTCCTAGCATCGACCATCATGGCCAAGGCAGCCTTGTGACCAGGCAGACTTCGTGCGGCACGCCATCCGAAGACGAGAGGGTGGGCTGCTCAGGGCAATGACAGGCCGTGACACCCCGACAGGCCTTGTCATCCGCCCCCATCCCTGTCGTCGATGACAGCTGGCCAGAGTGTCTGGGAACCACCCCGCGCCAGGCTTAGACGTCTCTCAACTTACTAGAAGTAGGTATGTACACATGGAAAAACGAGCCGGCAAAAGCCTCGACTTTGCATGGCCGGCCTCATCCGTTAACTCGGTAACGATCTCTGGTTTCTAGAAATAGAGCCAAGCTAAAAGTTCATGGCAGTTCAGACGACTCCCGCTGCGATAGACTCCAAGAGATGCATCGCATTGCTGCGAGAACGCGCCCCGCTCCGTACGCAGCTTAGTGTCGTCATGGCACAGAGGGGCAAGTACAGATGCACCCAATTGCACCGCCTCTCTGCATGTCCAGATTTCCCATTGGAACTCTTCGGGAAGCGCGAAGAACATCGCTCCACCTCCTCCTGCAGCTGCGGGTGCTGAGCCTGGACTCGTGGACGATGGCGAAGATGCAGTCGGAGATGCAAATGGAAGAAGGCGCAAAACTTCCATCACGGTCGTTGCATGTTGGGATGAGCCCTGCTGCATGCCATGGCATGTACCAGCTGCCAATGCATATTTGCTTGGTGATTTGAACCGTACTTGTTCTTCGAGTTGCGATTCCCGGAATTCCTCTCTTATTACCCTGCGCTAAGACGACCTTTTCAAGGTCAGCTTACCATTCAAGAGAAGCCAAATCGACAAGCTGCAGAATGCCGTGTCATCCTGCAAAGAGCCGGCATTTGACCACAGCCTGCAGCGCGGTTTGCTCCGCTTACCCTCCAAAGCCTTTAAGCCTACAACCCTCACCGAACACTGAGACCTGGGCTTTCTTGCTCTATGGCTTAGTTCTCTGATCCTCGAAGGTGTTCCACGCTTCGCCTGTATCCTGCCGGGCATGTATTGCTCAATATTTCCTTCCAGATGTGTCGCCCAGCACTTTACTCCTGCGACGACTTCTTGTAGTCTTCCATGTCATCGGGGCGGCAGAGGACTTCCCTGCATGCCAGACAGCGTTCTCTGTCCCGATGTTAGCCGCCGCAGTGACGGACACATCGACATCTTTCCAGATGACGAAAAATGCCTCGAGCTTCGCGGATTTCGCGATTTCTTATCCTTGCCATGAAATCCAGGGGATGCGCCAGCGCCGACAAGTCAGAGACGGTTGAAGAGCAGACCTGCCCTAGATCTTTAGTCAGGATTAAGTTGGTCCATGAACGGCATAGCGTGACAGCCGATACCCCCAGCGGGAGTAGGCGCGGTGTTTCCTACCAAGCGCAGAGTCGTCCTTGTCGTTAGATCGTGGTTTGGCGATGCTGATGTCGCTTCTTCTCTCCTTCGGCCGCTAAGTGACCAAACTGCTTCTTTGCAGGATGCACAATTGCCATGCGCTGAGAGAGGCCGTGCACCAAGGGACGTGCACGCCCGAGATCTTGCTTACATAACAGCAAGCTCCACTTGGGCTGCCGAATAAATTTGCTGCAAAAATTTCTGCAGCTTCCTCCGAACACACTTCAAGGCATCATTTCCAACAACCCTCGGTGATCAGATGCGCCTGGATGACCAGAGTGTCGGTCTTATTTTAGACTGACGAGACTCGTCTTCTGAGGCCCGTCTGATCCCATAACCACAAAGGTATGCTTCGATCTCTTCCTCATTATCACCGTCCAAAAGATGAAAATCTTAAATCTTCCATAAAAATGATATCTATTTATATGATTATCGTTACACACACTGAAAATCCTGAACCGACAACTTCACACCTCACAATTGTTGCATCGTCTTCTTGGAACTGGTCAACTAACGAGGTCAAACAGGCAGACAGGTGGCTACTCTTCGTCTTTGACTTGATGTCAGTATGGTCTGGTGGAATGCGGCGTCGGTATAATGAGATGACCTTGATAGTCAATAATACATGCAGTTGCCAATGGCTTGCCATATATTCGTCTTGATCTGTACACCAATGTCATGAAATTCTGATTACGTCGTGGAGGCGGTCTAACTTGAGAACCCTGATCACATTATAATACACCGTTCATATGTTGCTGCTTCCATTCGACCGGGAGGCAAGTTCCTTCTTTTTTCCTACTTCGGTCGAGGCACCTCGTGGAGGAAAGTAGTCAGACAGACGGCAACCGCACCTTCCCACGCACGTTTCTCTTCGTTCCGTCCACTCGCGATACAATATGCCGCGCCTACTCAGCCGCCAGCGCCGGCTTCAACTCGCCATGGACAAGCCAAAGCCAACATGGTAAATCTTGCCCGCGGTGTTTCTCCATGACATCTGCTCAATGTTGGCGCTGGAAGACACATCCAGTTGCAGCTGTCTATCCCGGTCCAGCAGGTTTATATATATTCTCGCGACTCCCTACCTTTACCGAAACATCACCACCGAAGGCCTCCGCTTGCTACGAGGAGAAAGGCTTGCCAAAATTTTACACACATTGGTCAACAACAGAGCCCTTGCGTCGCTTATCGAGAAGATCAACTTCTTCCGTACCCCTCAAATTATAATCCCCTTTCCTACCGTTCGTTATAGAGAAACCTTCGCAGAGGCGGCACGTCGTATTCATATTGGCAGCAAGGGCTCTAGGTACTCGAGAGCGGAATCATTGAGTGCATGGCGCACATGATCGCGCCTTCAACACGCTCTACCTGCGCAGCTTTCAGTACCGTTTAGCGAATGACGAAGACTATGTCGTCTGGGCGGAACTGCTGGCAGCGGCGCTGGACACTCAACGGGAGGGGTGTCCACACCTGCGGAGAGTAGCCATCGGGTCGACTGGCGGGAACGTGCTAGACGCAGACTGGCTCCTCCAGCTGTCGTTCGACGCGGCTCCCGACATTCAGGAGCTGACGTTGGATGGCTTGTTCGAGGTGCCCTCGCCCAACGAGCAATTCCAGCGCCTCGAAACCTTACAGCTCTCTGACCAGATCCTTTTCACCGATAAGCTATCCTGAACTCAGAATCTTCGCCCTAACGTATACCCGGTTCAAAGGAACAGAACAACACGTCGATCCTCAAGGGGTGGTTGATATACTCGAGTCACTTGCGGGACAGCTTACTGAGCTTCGGCTGAGACCTTCGGGCATGATATTACGCCCATGGGTCCCCCTTCCCGAACGTCCCACGAACGTTTCGCTATCATTCAGAAGCCTCCGAGCTTTGGACGTCCTCAAAGTTGACGCAGCGTGCTATTGGCCGGTTTGTTTGTCCCGTGATGAAATACCAGTGATACTCCTTTGGGGAAAGGCTGGCTGTCTGGTTGAAAGCCTCCCGACCGGGCTGAGGGAACTCACCTTCGCCGCGATAGATGAGGACGATAGGTTCGTCGAAGGGGGCACATTACACACAATGACGCGTGAGAGAAGGAAGTCGCCCAAACTCAACCAGGAGGATGGAGATGATCTCGACGAGTACGACCGCGAACACAGCATTGACGGCCTCGTGGGATTTGCGCGCCGAGTCAAGCAGCACTGTCCGCGACTACAATCCTTGAGATATGGCTTCAATCCGAAATTCGACGCCTGCTTAAAAAGGGAGCTGCGCAAGCTGTGACGCGTTTTCGCAGAGGAAGGAATTTCGTTCTCTTCGGAATCGTTGTATCCCCAGCTGAACCATGGGGATGACGACAAGGACGACATGGACAGCAAGGACGATAAGGATGATGACTCAGAACGATTGGCCCTAAAAGCAATGAGGACGATGGGGCTATCAAGCAGATGAGATGTTCCAACCTGGAAGTAAAGAGGATAAGGTAACAGCGTCTGACTGATAATGAGGATGAGGAAGATCACGAAAAGTCAATGATCTCCTCAAGAAAACAACAGCAGCAGGACTATCAAAATAGAATAACCACTTTACACATATAGGAAAAAACCTGTCCTGAAATCGATTTAGATCAGTTTTCGACTAAAATAACCAAGTGGGTACTTGTTCACCTTCCTGGTTGATTGCGATGCGTGTATGGGAGAAATATATATGCTATTAAAGCCGAGCCGCAGCCGACTTGTTAGTTCAGCTTCTTCGTCTTATATATCCATCTTTCACCCGTCGTCCTCTTTCAAGTACTCGTCATCGAAATAGGATATAGAGCGTTCTAAACATGTGACCTCGGACTTAACTTCCATCAAACAACAGAAGTACACTAGAGGACATGCTTCCATCAGACCCCACACGACACCAGAACACATAGCTTCCGTGCCAGTCAAGCTGAGCAGTTCACTAACCACAAAATCCCCTCCTTTATTGAAAGTTGTCCTAATTCTACTTAGCTTGAATACCTAGATTATGTTGGGGAGATGAAAAGTATGTCGAGTGAATTGCTGGATAAGCACGGCTTCATGCTCGTTCCCAATGTCAGCACATTTGCATTCGTGAAACGGGTTATCATCAGAAGTGCCCGGCGTAAGGCAAGTCGACTGTCCAGCAGCCAAGAAAACACCGTAATTGGTATAAAAGCCAACGTAGACCAATGACAACGTTTCTGTAGGCAAAGAAGCGTGTACTCCTCTTCTGAGATGTTCCAAAACGAGACGTGCCACACCCGAGAAGAACCCGCAGAACCGAGCATGTCACAATTCTCCCAGAATCTCAATCCCATCTCTCATACCGATCCCTCGCTCGTCATCCCCTGTCAAGTATTCCAGAATAATCCCCATCGAAGAAGAGTCTGGAGCTTTGCAACCTTGGCCATCTTCTTCCCTATCGCATTCATCATCCTGACTGCACGACAACAATCTCGACGCCTCGACCGGACGTACCCGGTTGCCCCGAGAGCTCGATCTATTCACCGTACTCCGGGAAGATTTATTTAGCCAGGCCTAAGAGTGTGTATATATACCCGTCAGATCACCGTCGAACCTCTGTGTAGAACAAGGAACACCTCAGGCTGTATAAGATCAGCGGTACTGATACCCAGAACTCTTTTTCTCCGCAAGGTGGCTTCAGACATCGCCGCTGTGTCCACACCACATCGGGTATAGAAAACGACATGCTTCATTTCATACCTTGCATCTTCCGTCAACGGCAAATTTCCCGGATACGGCACGTTGACGTCGATGTTCCACACAACTTCAGAATATTGCTCCGTCGCTTGGTTATCTCTCCGCAAATATGCGACAGACCACAGAAACGCGGGATGAACAGCACCGTGAGCTTAGAGGACGATTCTAGATCGCTCCGCCGGCCTGCAAGGAGTGATACTCTTGTCCGACGCTCATTTGGGCTTGTTATTCAGTCACCACAATCCCGAAAGAGGACTGTAGTCACGTTGGTGTGAAAATCTAAATGAGACGTGGAATCTCACTATTTGTAGCATTTCCGCCGGTGTAAAGGACAGCCTCTGGAAAATCACCTCCACAGGGCCTTACCAGCACGGTTAGAGTGAACATTGCCAATGCGTTTCTACCTCACTTACACCCACGAAACAGAGAATGACAGCTCGAACCAGAGGGTATTCCAATCTATCCGTCCGTAGCTAAATGAAGCCATGGTGCATTCACACAAATTACTTTTGGTTTTCCATCTTCCCCCCTCCCTACCCTCCCCTTCGATCCGCCCCAACGCCATCGCAATGCATTAGTGACCAAGAAGAGAATCAAATGTCGACGGGTTTCTGACAATCTCCTCCTCCTTTTCCCTCCCCCTCCTCCTCCGTGGTGACATACGAGATCCATTCCAGCTCGTTCCATCAATCTTTCTATCAAATGTACAATCCCCATTCTCTGGTTCCAATAGAGTTGGTCGGCCAATCGGTCTTCGTCAGTGTGGAAGACATCACCCAATATACGACAAGACTCAAACAGACCCCATCATCAAAGTCTCAACCATGCCCCCCGTCTCGCACGCCATCTGCGCCTTCTCGACCTCGTTCACGACCCTCCTCCTGAGCATCTTGAACCCCTCGAGCAGCTCGGTGCTGGCGGACGCGTACTCGGCGTACAGCTCGACGAGCAGCAGCCCGACCTCGACGCACACGCTGACGTAGCGCGGGTCGATGATGTGGTTGCACGTCCACTTCAGGACGGGCTGCACCGTCCTCTCGTTGCGGCCCTCGAGCGCCTCCCGCACCGCCGACCGGTGCCGCAGCGCCGTCAGGCACGTCAGCACCGCCAGCGGCGAGTGCTCCTTGCCCTGCGGGTCCAGCACGCGGTCCAGCGCGCTCGCGTACCGCCCGTGCCGGAGCGCCTTCTGCCACGCGTTCTCCCGCGCCCGGACGGCCCGCGGGTCCTGCGCGACGATCACCTCGGCCTGGCCCTCGCCGAGGGCCTCGAGGCGGCGGTGGGCCGCGGCCTTGCGCTTCTTGCCGCGCGTGCGGGCGTCGTGCTGGTCGAGGGTGCCGGCGACGAGGGCGGCCATCTCGCGCTCGCGCTCCCTCTGGCGGGTGGCCTCGGGCCCCGTGAGGCGGGTGCGGACGGAGAGGACGCCGGACTGCATGCCGACGACGAGGTGGCGGTCGGCGTGGTCCGGGGAGTCGGAGGCGGAGAGGACGCGGAGGGAGAGGATGGGGGAGGGGTACTTCGTGCTGGAGACGACGTTCCAGGCGGTGGTCTCGAAGACCTTGACGTGGCCGTCGAGGCCGCCAGAGACGAGGCGGGTGCCGCCCGAGGCGAGGCTGAGGGAGGTGACGGTCTTTTGGTGGTTGGCGATCTGGTGGACGGGGCGGGCGGCGACGAGGTCGAGGACGGAGACGGTGGGGCCGGAGGCGGCGAGGAGGGTCGTGCCGGAGGAGAGGGGGAGGACGGCCTCGACGGGGGCGGCGTGCTTGAAGGTCATGACGGGGGAGGAGTTGCCTATCCTGGGGTCCCAGATCTTGACGGTGGAGTCGTAGGAGCCGGAGACGATCATGTTGCCGTTGCTGCCGCCGCCGCCGGCCGTGGCGGGGAAGAACTCGGCGCAGCGGACGTAGTCCTGGTGGCCGACGAAGGTGTGCGTGGGGTCGTTGGCGGTGAGGTCCCAGAGGCGGACGGTCTTGTCGTCGGAGGCGGAGAGCAGGGTGGTGGGACTGGCGTCGCTGAAGCGCGTCGTCCAGACGGGCTGGCGGTGGGTGGTCCAGGTCTTGAGGATGCTGCGGGAGTGGGTGTCGAAGACCTGCATGCGGCCGGTGTCCTCGGCGGCGACGAGGATCTTGCCGTCGCGGCGCAGGGAGCCGGAGCGGGCGACGTCGGCGAAGCGCGTGATTGTCTTTTCGAGCTTGCGGGTGCGCGACGAGTAGAGCTGGACGCGGGTGCCGGTGGTGACGGCGAAGAGGCCGTCGGAGGAGGTCGACGAGATGTGGGTGATCGGGTACGAGGTCGGCGAGGGGATCTGCAGCTGGTTCTTGAAGGACTTCCAGTAGCGCTGCTCGGCCGTGACGGGCGTCGGTCCCGAGGGCAGCTTCACCTGCGGGAGGGGTCCCACGGGGGCTGCCATTTTGACCGAGATTGTGGGTGTGCTTCTTTTTGTTGAGTTTGGTGTGTCGCGGGTGGTAGGAGGTCAATTGGGGTGGTAGTTGTTGGGTGCGGCGCGCAACGTGAGGGTATCGTCGTGATGGACGTGAATATTTTTTTGGAGGTTTGGAGCTACTGCCAAAGGAAAGAAAAAAAAGATTGTCAATTGAGAATTTCTTTGGAGGCTAAGCTTGTTTAGGACTAGCGGATACCCCACGTTCGCGATAAGATAAGCCGCGGGGCCTGGGGCGTCACTGGAATTTCTTCAGAGAGCTGAGAGGAATAGGTTAAGCTTATGAGAGATGATCGAAGGTAATTTCAAAAGATGAACTCGCGACATAAAGATGCGTTCTTGTCTTTCTTTTAATAACGCTAGACATATACCAAAAAAATTGAAGTGTTTCGTGAAATGGAACCCGCTGTCCTCAACTGTGCTCAAAAACACCGGGTTCTGGCAGAAGACATCCACTGCCCATTCAAACATGTTGTTGGAATCCATGATAAAAAGCTCCTTTTCAAACCCAAATCTTCGTCTACGTTCATCATTACTAAATCTTCGTCCAGGCTGCTTGACTATCCTCAATCCTCACTATAGATGTATACAGACCGAACAACTCTCCAACATGCAATCTGCCACAAGGCAGACCAAACCGCCAAGTAACCACATCCATTCCCAACCAAACATCAAGAACCGACAATCGAACACTCACTCGGTTCAGCACAAACAATACACATTTTTACCTTCCCCAAGCCACTCTTGGCCCACGATATCCCCCCCTCAAAAACTCCATTCTGCCGGTCTCACAACGGCATGGACCATTTCGCGCATAACCACACGCCCCCTCGCCCGTCATCCTGCATCCCAAAAGCCAAAAACAGACGCAACCTCGAAACCTACCTAAGGTAAGGTAAGGTAGCTACAGCTCTCGCTCACCGCTTGAAAATTCCAAAACTCGAGATAAGTCATGTGTCACGTCCCGTCCGTCACCGTACCGCCGCCTCAACTATCCTCCCGCAACGCCTTGACTTCCAGTTGTAGGTCCCTGCCTCGGAACGCGCATGGAACGGATCGGACGGTGAGATCACCAAGTACTGACCTACTTATAAGAACATCTCTCCGATTCTCGGAGGGCGCTCCGTCGGATGTTTCTGTTTCCTGTCGGGCTGGGCATCAAAACTATAAAAAACAGGAAGAGAGAAAATTTTGATAAAACTCTAAACGGGACAAACAGCTGTTTCTCCAAACGTTTGTTACGCCCAAACCAAAAAAGGTCTTGGCAAAAAGTCACGATCTGTCCGTACTGCCACCGCAAACGCCCAGCGAACGGTCACGCGTCAAAACGGTAGGACTGCGAGATGTCGTATGTCCGCGCAGCCAAACGTCCACTCGCCAGCTTGGCAGTGAGAATGACGTCGATGTGCATATCTCACGAGGCTGTACACTCATGCACGAAGAGGCAATGTTGAAAAATGTTTGAACCTTCTTTAATTCTCATTGACCCATAATAACCATATTCTGATCTATGCAACACGCTAAAAGCATATTCAAATGACGCGAAGTCTTGAACGGGGTATACCATCCACTCTCTTAATCGTCCCCTTTACTGCTCGACGGAACCGTAAATAGTCTCCATCATAATACCTGAGAATGGAATTAGTACGACGTTAATGTTTGTGAAGTAGTCATCAAGGACTTACCAGTAATCCTGTAAGGGTCGGCATTTGAGGCGGGGCGACGGTCCTCGAAGTAACCGTAGCCCTTGGCAGCGCACTCTCTGGGGATACGGATGGAAGCACCACGGTTGGCAACTCCGTAAGAGAACTGGTCGATGGAGCCCGTCTCGTGGCGACCAGTGAGACGCTTCTCGTTGCCGACACCGTAGACGGCAATGTGCTCCTTGTGGCGGCCCTCAAGCTTCTTGATGGCGGCCTCGATGTGCTTCATGCCACCCTCAACACGCATCTCCTTGGTGGAGAAGTTGCTGTGGAGACCGGCACCGTTCCAGTCACCGGGGATCGGCTTAGGATCGACGGAGACCTTGGCGCCGAACTCCTCGGCAATGCGGGCAAGGAGGAAGCGAGCGAGCCACAGGTGGTCACCCATCTCGATGCCGACGCAGGGGCCGATCTGGTACTCCCACTGAGCGGGCATGACCTCGGCGTTGGTGCCGGAGATCTTGATGCCCGAGTACAAGCAGGCCTTGTAGTGGGCGTCGACGATGTCGCGCTGGACGACCTTGCCGGCACCGACACCGCAGTAGTAGGGGCCCTGGGGGGCGGGGAAACCGTTAGAAGGCCAGCCGAAGGGGCGGTTGCTGAGGTCGAGGAGAGTGTACTCCTGCTCGAGACCGAACCAGGGCTCGTGGGCGGCGTGAGCCTCCATTAGCTTGGCGCACTCATGCCTGTAGTTGTACTTGTTGGGGGTGCCGTCGGCGTTCCAGCATTCGGAGAGAACGAGGATGTTGGGGGATCCGCGGAAAGGGTCGGGGAAGACAGCAACGGGCTTCAGGTAGACGTCAGAGTTATCGCCGGGGGCCTGGCCGGTTGAGGAGCCGTCGAAGTTCCACATAGGAAGATCTTCGGGGGTGTAGTCCTTCTCCTTGAGTGTCTGGAGCGCACATGGTTAGCATCTGTGAATGTGGCGTTGTGATGCAACAGTGAATAGCAAGTGCTCGGCGTGGCCAACTTTGGCTCCGCGAGGCTGACATCATGCGGTGCTCCTTGTCGTCGAACTGACGATATCTCGGCGGGCCAGCTCCAGTCGCCAAAGGGTCTTGGACCCATTGTCTGTGGGGACATGGCCACAATCGCATTGCGCCGGCGGCTGGTCAACGGGGTAAAAGCACACGCCCGGCGGCGAGCACTCGACAAAAGGTTGCTCGACTTGCTAGACCTCCAATACCCGAGCTGCCGCGTTCAACCCTGCAGCTGGAGGTAAGACAAAGCATGAAGTCGATGGACCAGTCGGGTATGGTGGGGTTCCTTGCAGAGCCGAGTCGTGTGTCATCCTGTCAGCCAGCGCCGAGCAGCCAGCAGAAGCCAGCTTTGCCAGGCGAAGACCTGAGCAGGTACGTACACCGACGACCATCCAACACCCGCGGGGCAGGCGGTGTTTTGACCCCCGCCAAGCCCCCAGTGCTTTCCCGTTGCCGTCACCTGCTGCAGCAACCCGCCTATTTTCAGCCCGGGGCAGGATCGGAGACACCCCGAGGGGACGATTCCTAAAAAAACACGGGGCCGCTTCCCCAGCTTTGTCGCGCCCGTCGCCGCAGATGAAGAGAAGCATTGAGGAATGCATGCTGCGACGCGTCGCGAGCTAAAGCTGGAATAGGCTGGACCCATTGTCGTCTAAAGGATTCTCCGGCTGAAGCAAGGCGGGCGTTTTGCGGGCACCAGACCAGGCCGGCAACAGAAAGAAATGACCAAAACGGAATAAGAGGATGAGAGGCGGCTTATCAGGATAACATACCCTTGACTTGGAGCGGGTCTCTCCATCAGCATCGATCCAGATGTACTCGGCCATGATCTGGCCCTTCTGGTCGAGCTTCAGGTACTTGGCCAACTAGACTGAGAGTCAGCATAATTGTTCTTTTGTGGTATTCGGGGCTGATGCTGAGATCAGCTCGGGGGAGGGTTTCTCACGGCATTGGGCTTGGAAGTGAAAGCGTCTTCTGTCGCCTGTTGAAAATCCATGTTAGCGCATGTCCGTACTCTGATTCGAGGGGCCGGCCAGCTTCGAGAGTGCCAGACCGGAGAGCATGACGTTAGAGCCGTCTGCAGGTAGACATACCATTTTTGCGGTTTGTGTGTGATAAGATGGGTAGAAAAGGGAAGAAGTTGAAAATCGAACTGAGCCGGGTCAATCGAAATCAGAAGAAAGGTTCAAGCAGGTAGATAGATCTGAGGATCTAGGTAAATAGGAAGACGAGAGGATGTAGATGTAGTATGAGAATGAAAAGTAAAAGAAGACACGATAAGAGAATCGACGCTGGGGCGGTTGAGGGTTTTATGGTTTCGCTGCCCGTGTCCGGTGGAAGGCGTGGGCTGGGCGGCCGTGGATGTGTAGACTGTAGACTGGCGGCGATGAGTCCTTACCCAGCTATCTCTTGGGAGGTATATTGCGTACCTGATCCCGCCAGGTACCGTCGAGATACTTGGGATGACCGCATGTTGCCTCGTGTGTCCTTTGATAGCGGCGGTACAGAATCGTACAGCGAGGGTAGGTACTGCCGTACTTCCATCCATTGATGGAGCTGGCTCACCGGGCTGGGAAATGGGTAACTGGAACTGGAAACTGGGCTCCTTCCCTCCACTGCGGTGCACCTTGCGCCTTCGCCCGCGAATGGCACTGGTGACTGGTTCAAGTCTGGTCTGCTCTCAGCCCAAGATAAGGCCTGCCCATCATGGCTGCAGGGGTGTGGCTGGCACGGCTGGCCCTCTGGCCTTCTGGTATCGATTATGGTGGGGTTAGGAGGGGTGGGTGTGGTGGGGTGTGGACCCGGAAACATGTGCTCTTTGATTCGCTCGCCAACGCTGAGTTTGGGGGTCCACAGATACATTGCCATTTCGGACGTGCCTCTCACAGTCTCACAGTGCTCTCAGGGTCCCGGGAAAGCCTAAAAACACTGACTTTTATTCCTCGTCAGGAGGGCATCTCCCGCTGTATCATGGCACAGCACCGTACTGCCTTCGTCATACGCACCGTCATCATCAACACATACCCGGTCAACACTCCTGCACCAACGGCCATCATGTCTCCAAGGGAAACGGAAATGCGACGGGCGGACCTTTCACCCCTAAGGGTATCGTCGACCTCATCCTCTCTTCTTGCAGATTTGCTCCTCTTTGGCCTCCATCTGGGTGGTTTTGTTCTGTCAACCCTAGTCCCCAAGAGTCAGAGACCGCTGATAGGAAAATAAAATCAGAAACAAAAGGCCAAGGGTCGAGAAAAAATTGTCCAACGTGTGACGATGATTTCGATAT